GGGGGCAATACTTATTTATATGTTTGTAGTATTAAAAATTTTATGTATAACTTTTAAAGGCATAAATATATATCATAATTATTTTTTACAAGTTTTTATATCTACGATTACAATTAAAGATAAAAATAAATTAGATTAGACTAGATTTTATTATAACTTAGTAGGTTTGAACTTAACTTTCTTTAAAAATATATATCCTAAGTATGACTTATTTATCTATCATAAACATTTTTTAAATGTTTGGATAGAATTACAATCCTAAAAACCTACTTTATAATAATTTAATACTATTAAAAATATAAAAATAAATATGTTAAATTTTATAAAAATCAAGTTTAATTTATTTATGATATAAATATTTTTTTAATATTTAATATAAATTTTTAGATGATAATATATTTTAAAATATATTTTATAATAAAAATTCTAAATAGAACATAGATATTTGAATATTTCTTATTTTGATTTTTTTAATCAACATATACAATCTTACTATTTTGATTTTGTTAATCAACGTATACAATAAATAGAAAGCACAAAAGGTTTAAATATGCAAGCTGCAAATTTTATTTTATCAAAAATTATTTTTTTTAATATATTACATTATATATGTGAGCATTAATATATATATTATAATCAAACTTTTTAAAAAAATTAATTTATTATTAAGGAGTATTCTTTATCACATATGATAATTAATTTCCTTAGAAAGTTTAACAGATATCAAATAAATGAATATCTCCTCTGAATTTATATTTTATATATATGATAATTTAAATATATATATTTATTTTATTAAAATATAATTTTTACTTTTTAAAATATATTATTTTTAAAATAAAAAATTATGTATGTATCAAATAGTAATAGGGGCAAGTACCACCAATAGGTGCAAAACCTTTTATGATGCTCAACTGCTAGAGGGAGGTGGAGGTTGTTCACGAGTTTGTGAAAGACCAATGGTGGAACATCGAAGTGGAAGGATGAGGGGTGTATGAATTGAAGGAGAAATTTAAATTAGTAAAGTTTAAGTTGAGGGTGTGACATGGAAATGGTCATGGCAATTGGGGTTTGATGTTGCAAAACAAGAATCAGTGTAGGAATTTTGTCAAACATGTATTGGGGTGAAGATGGACATGCTTTACAAGGAACGAGAGAAAGGTGGGTTGGGCATTAAAAAATCTTAAGGCTTTCAATCTTACATTACTAGGTAAATGAAGGTGGACAAGGAGGGACTATTGTATAAAATATTGGTGCATAAGTATAATAAGTTTCAAGGAGTTATGGGAGGGAAGAGGAGAAAATGGTCAGTATGGTGGGGAATGGACAATATACTTCCTTTTTGCACTATTTTTAAGATATGTTAGGGTTATGTTTTTATATTTGATTTTTAGGGGCATATTTATTTAAGAGGAGAATTATATTTTTGTTATTGATCGGAGGAATTTTACAAACATTTTTACGATCCTCTATCTTCTCCTCCCTGAGTCGCGCCACTTCTTGAGGCTATTCTCCATGTGATGTCTTAGTTTTTTATTTGTCTATTTTTAAGAACTTGTGTTTTGTCATTTGTGTGAACTTTTGTTAAGAACTTTGACATTTTATTATTAATGTAATTTGCTACTTTACTCTTTAATATGGAGTTAAAATGTTCAATTATCATGTTATTTCTAATTATTTTTATAATTTTTTTATTGAGTAATCTCTTACGAGTTTACGGAGCCTCCACAAGATTATGTAAACTCTCAAGATTAACAACCTTGCGTACATGAATTTGAGATGACCAGTTTCGAGATGATTTCCTTGCTACTCTTGTCTTCCGAGCTCTGAAGTGTGAAAGAAGTGCGTACATAAGAAGGTGTAAAAATGAGTTTGATCATAAATTTGCTCTTTTAAAAATCTCAACCTCCCCTTAACCTTCTAGTTATAATATATTAACCACAGTTACAAATTTCCTTCCCTTTTAGTTAATAAAATATTATAATAACCTTTTAATAAAATACACTATATTATATCAAAACATACCGAATAATTAAATAAATATTAAATAGCTCTAATTAATAAAATATTATAAATACTAATATTATTAATAAAATACTTATATTTTATTTTATGAAAAAGAGGATGTTACAAATTAAGGATGAGAATATGTTATATCTTAAATAGAGACGCATCATCTAACATATTTAAAGTGTACCACCCTGTCCTGGCCTATTTAACAAAAGGTCATATTTACACTTTTAAAAATGTTTGTTTATTTAAAAAGGTTAAACTTAACAAAAAATAAAAATTAAGTCTTATAGATTAACCTATTTATTTATACTATATATAAAGGGATACCACTTTTTGATTTTCACTTTTTTTTATTTATCCTTTAATTTTAAACTAGACGTAAATTTGTTTCAAATTCCTGTAAATATCTCTTTGTCTTATTTTGGTCTTGTAAAGTTTTTTTTGTCATTTTTATATCCTTGATAATTTTTTAGTATTCATTTTTAGTCATTATCACTAACTCTAATTATAGTTTAGTGCTCAAATGAATAACAAAATATAAAATATTAATCTATACTATATAAAGGATTTAGTGCTAAAATAAGTCATAAAATATAAAATTTTAATCTATATATATAAAGAGATATTACCTTTTGGTTTTCACTTTTCTTAAGACTCATTTATCCTTTATTCATTCAAACAAGACTTAAATATGTTTTAAGGTCCTTGCAAATATAATTCTATCTTGTTTTAGTACCTCTAAATTTTTTTGTTATTTTTAAATCCTTTGACATTTTTGTGTTCATTTTTAGTCTTTATTATTAACTTTAGTTAGTTTAGTGCTAAAATAAGTAATAAAATATAAAATATTAATGAAGAAAATTAAGGTAACAAAGAATATTTAAATTATTTTTACATGCAATTTATTTAAGTTATATATATATATATTTTGTAAATAAGATAAAGTTTAATTATGTTTTTAGTCTCTCTAAATTCAGTGAATTTTAATTTTGGTCCATGTAATATTTTCTTTATTTTTCATCTTTCTAAAATTTGTACACATTGTTTTTTCATCCATGTAAATATTTTTTGTCATTGTAAAATGAGTATTTTTTTTATTTTAGTCCTTATAATTTTTTCTTCAATTTTCATCTCTTTAAAATGTAAAAATTACTATTTTTTGGTCCTTAACTTTGATTTTAAAGTAGATACATATCATTTATGTTAAGAACTTATAAAAAAATTTAAAGGTGTCACATTTTAACATGGTATTACTATAGTCATGGGTAAAATCTGAGATGATCACTTAACATTTGATAAACAATTAAGTATTTAAAAAATGATTATATAATAACATAGACTAAAAACAATAGTTCTAAATTTTATAGGGATTAAAAATAAAGAATTTTTTTTTGCAGAAACCAAAATTAAAACTTGCTCATTTTACAAGGATTAAAAACATATTTAAGTGCATATTTTTTCTTTAAATTATAGGACAGAAAAAATAATTTTAAAATTACTGGACAAAAATAAATTTATTTCATATTTAAGAAATTAAAAAAGTATTTAATTCTATATTTTTATGTACATAATTAAACATTACTGTAAAGAAATATTTGAAAGAATAAAGATATAAAATAAGAGGTTTAAATATTTTTTTAATCTTTATAGTTTCACTTATTTTATTTTTTAGTCCACGATTTTTTAATCTCTATACTTATTTTTTTTAATCCTTTTTAGTTTCCATAATTTAAGATATATTTTTTTTGTCTTTATATTTGTAATTTTTTGATCTTTTTAATATTTATCGTTAATTTTTTTTTAATATTATCTATTTTGTTTTGACATGATAAAAGATTTCAATTTTGTGAGTAAAATAATGTTTCAACTAGGGATGACAAATATACCCGTACCCGTCCCGACTTTGACGGGGAATACCCGGTTTGACCGGGTACGGGTACAGGTAAAACCCGATATATTAAATCGGGTACGGGTACGGGTACAGGTACGGGTACATTTTTAATTTAATACTCACTTTTAATTTAATTATATTAAAGAATTTTAGTATTTTTTTATGTGTGATTATTTATTATAATATGAGATAGAGAAATAACTTAATTATAATTATAATATAATTAAAAAATAATTTAAAAATATTATATTTAAAAAAAATAAAAAATAAAAAATTTGACAGGTACGGGTACGAGTACGGGTATACCCGATACCTGACGGGGACGGGGATGAGAATGAAAATCACATACTCGCGGAAATGGGGACGGGTATCATAAAACCCGTACTCGCCCCACCCCGTTGCCATCTCTAGTTTTAACAATGAATGTCAAAAATAACTATTAAAGTATAAAAAAGACACAAAATTAAATTAATACATATCAATACATAATAAATAATCTTACAAAAATGTCTATCTATATAGCCTGGTGCAATAGTTTGCTAATTGCAATACCACTGTTGAGTTCCAAGTTTGAGACATGACATGTCCTCATTCAAACCAAAAACAATGTTACGAAGATAAATTAACAACAAAATCTAAAAAATGATTTATCTTAAACTGAACTAAAAATAGTTGTTATACATATATATATAAATTAAAAAGATCTATTTTAAAATTATAAAGACTAAAAATATAAAATAAATAAAATTATATAGACAAGAAAAATATTTTAACTTTACATAAAATTATGGAAAGGTTTGAATAAGGGACAGGATTGAACCCATGCCCATTGCTTCACGATCAAGACTCATGTGTATGAGCATGACGATAAAAAATAATTATGGGCATGACGATGAAGACTAATTACCTAATTTTGTCTTTACTCCAATTCTAAATCCCAATTTGCCGAATAAAAAAAGTATATCACCTGATTTCACTTTCGATGAAAGTTCATGTATGAAGAATTTCCAAGGAAGTACGTGTTCCGTGTGGAACCCACTAAGTTAATGTATTTTCAAATATATAAAGATTTGTTTTCTTCGCTCCATTCCACAAT